ACGCATATGCATACACGCACACGTACACACACACGCGCGCGCACGGGCACACGCACACGCACACACACACGTACACACGCACACGCGCACGCGCACACGCATATGCATACACGCACACGTACACACACACGCGCGCGCACGGGCACACGCACACGCACACACACACGTACACACGCACACGCGCACGCGCACACGCATATGCATACACGCACACGTACACACACACGCGCGCGCACGGGCACACGCACACGCACACACACACGTACACACGCACACGCGCACGCGCACACGCATATGCATACACGCACACGTACACACACACGCGCGCGCACGGGCACACGCACACGCACACACACACGTACACACGCACACGCATACGCGTACACACACACTCGGCAATCAGCAGAGCGTCCCCTTGCGCAATCATGCGTGTACGTGTCGCAAGATCTCTGTGTGAGATGGATGTCCGGTTGCGTAGCCACGGCCTTATTTTTATTGGTGGCCAGCCGGGCCACCAACCCGACAGTTTCAGGTGGCCCGACGCCGTTTCAGGTGGCCATTGGCACCCGGGCCACCGTTAAAGTCGAGCCCTGCTATAGAACATTTTACGCCAGGTTTCGTAACTGCACCTGTCCCCCAATGCTTCCACGAAAAATGGCTCACAAAACGCAAAATGATCGGGCTTTTTAACACTTATTTATCTACATATAGACATCTCACCTATCTTTTTGAATACTTTCCACAACTTTACACCATTTATTTATGCATTTATTCCTCAAAGTGCTAGCACTACTTGCGTTTCATTTTCAAATGCTGTTGTGTACACGCGTGACATCACCCGAAATGTAATAGGCTGCATCATAGCTGCCCATGTGTTTTGTCTACATTTCGGGTGACGTCACGCGTGTACACAACAGCATTTGAAAACGAAACGCAAGTAGTGCTAGCACTTTGACTTTGAGGAATAAATGCATAAATACATGGTGTAAATTTGTGGAGTGTTCAAAAAGATAGGTGAGATGTCCATGTAGATAAATAAGTGTTAAAAAGCCCGATTATTTTGCGTTTTGTGAGCCATTTTTCGTGGAAGCATTGGGGGACAGGTGCAGTTACGAAACCTGGCATAAAATGTTCTATAGCCTTGCGGCAACTGTACGCGAGCTATAGTACTAGAGCTAGCGGCAGGTATGCAAAATGAAAACGTGACATCACAAACTCTATTTTTATCCTCCAATCACAGGTCGGAGCAATTCCTCTGTTTAGACGCATGTCAAAAATGCAGTTGTTTGTGTAGTAAACTTGTTGTGTGTTGTAGAGCAGCATTTGAACGGCATTTACAGAAAGTTATTACTAATACTAGTAATAATTATATTAGGCGAACGTTACGAAACGTTAGTGGGGAAACGTTACGACTTTGGCTGCAAATACATTTCGTGTTTATTTACCATCATTTTATTATTGAAACGTTGCAAGTGCCTGTGTCTGTGAGCTTACACCATAGATATAAAAGATTTATATCTACGCTTACACAGGAAGTGAAAGACGTCGAACGATCCCGAGTACGAGTACAAGACTGTTTCAGTGTCACTGACGCTGAGAGGGTCTATGTCCCTACCCACACAGCTGATGGGTAGCGAATGGATTGCACGTGAACTACTGTTTTGATTTAGGCCAAGTAAAGCATCGTTTCTTGTTGCGATTCACATTCTCAGAATCTGCTTCCAGTAAACCACACGTACACACACACGCGCGCAATCAGCAGAGCGTCCCCTTGCGCAATCATGCGTGTACGTGTCGCAAGATCTCTGTGTGAGATGGATGTCCAGACGCGTAGCCTCGTCCGGAACCGGTCGGGTAGCCACAACTTTATTTTTATTGGTGGCCAGGTGGGCCACCAACCCGACAGTTTCAGGTGGCCCGACACCGTTTCAGGTGGCCATTGGCCGGGCCACCGTTAAAGTCGAGCCCTGAATACGAAATCTATTTACTACCAAATTCTTAATGTTTCTATGCTTTCTTTCACCTATTACTGCCGACAGTTTCCTGTAAATTCCGTCCAAATCCTATTTGCAACATACGCTTGCGGCCGCCATTCCTCACGCGGCTGCACTGTGCACCCTTACACTTATATATATTAATATAGCAGGTAGGAAAGCGTGCTGCCCAAATTCGCTCGACGCTCGTTGGATTTCACACGATTACAACACAAATATTCAACCATTCTACTCCATCTTTGTTTCTATTTCAACAACAGTGTTCACTTGTTATAAAAACATAGTCTCTGTTCGTAACCGAGCTGTGTCACGCGAAATCACACAAAGACTGACGAAATTCTCGCTAACGTTGCCCAGTAAATGTAAATGGCTGCAAGTACAGGACTATATAGACCGGTACTCGTTCCCACCTCGATTACCCATCGGGTAACTAAGCTTAGCCGAGAGGTAGGAGCAATACCAGTCTATGGGCTATAGGCGGCGCACTACTTTCCAACTCCCGTACGAGCCTCGCCATTGGAGCGTTGCAAAAACGTTGCAGCGTTGCGGCGCAAAAATTAGGTCACAAAGAGCGCCGGTGGGTGTTTCCTGATTCTGACAGCCATTTACATTTACTGGGCAACATTTGCGAATGCGAGAATTTTGTCAGTCTTTGTGTGATTTCGCGTGACTCAGCTCGGTTACGAACAGACAGTATGTTTTTATAACAAGTGAACACTGTTGTTGAAATAGAAACAAAGATGGAGTAGAATGGTTGAATATTTGTGCTGTAATCGTGTAAAATCCAGCGAGCGTCATGCGAATTTGGGCAGCACGCTTTCCTTCCTGCTATATATATAAGTGTAAGTGTGCACAGTGCAGCCGCGTGAGGAATGGCGGCCGCAAGCGTATCATGTATGTTGCAAATAGGATTTGGACGGAATTTACAAGAAACTGTCGGCAATAATAGGTGAAAGAGAGTATAGAAATATTAAGAATTTGGTAGTAACTAGATTTCGTATTTATTTAGCATTATATTTTAGGCAGTGGCTACGGGTACGCCAGGCGTATCTTAATGTATCGAGGCTACGGGTACGCCAGTCCATTGGCTTTCATACTTAACGAGACAAAGATGGCGGCGGTGGCGAGATTATTTCGAAATAACGCCTTGGGAAATAAATTCACGATTTGAGAG